AAGAACTTTCGAGGTCGGGAATTTCCGAATGTATGGCATAACTGATTCAAGAGTTGAATAAATTAATGTTCAGGAAAATTGTGCGCATTGTCTTCTAAGTTTAGATGTAAAGAACTATATAATATAAAGTGAACTATACTTTTACAATCGCTTAACATGTTTGCTTTTTCTCGAGGAGGTTTGCAATGTGTCGCAGTTGTTGTTTTTTTATTTAAAATGTAGTAGTTTAGTTATTATGGTAAATACAACAACCGTATCGAACAAATAAAGGAGGTGTTGTCTCTTTTTAAAAGTTTTTTTGTTTGTTTGTTTTTTTGGTTGATAATTTGATTTTTAATATGCAGATCAGATCTTTTTGTTTAGGATTGTGCTCTTAAAGCAACATAAAAGACAATTAATAGAGACAAATAAGAAAGAGTCGTGTGTGTGTGCGTGCATAGTGTGTGTGGATTTTACAAAGGGAAATAAACAAGGGTGGAGTAATGTTAATAGTATACATTAGTAGTATTAGTGGTAGCAGTGTTAGGAATGACATAGAGCTAGGCCGGATTTAAGGGAGGGCAGGTGGGGCTACAGTTGACCACCACAAGGAAGGGGCCTCCACAGAAGAAATTTAAAAAAAACATTCGAATTTCGACGGGTCAGAAACTTTGGAATTTTTTTTTATATTCTTAAATTTTTGCGCATTTTTACGGCAGGTACAAATGTCGTGATTAAGAAGTGTATGCTCGTAGCATGATCGGAATAAGTCAATACAGCGCTGGATTTACGACAGTGCATCTAACAAGGGCCCTGCCCTCTACACACTTCAAAATATAGTCTAAACTAAAACATGCATATTAATTAATTTTTTTTTAATTAAAGGAAGGCGATTGGGAGTAAATTTACAATAACATTTTCCTTTCTTCTAAACTATAGCAAACTTTTAGATATGAGTATTCTCATGCATACGCTAATCTTGATGGAAGCTTTTTTTTTCAAATGTATAGAGGCCTCCATAAAAATTCTGCCTCTGGGCTTTCATCTTCTTAGATCCGGTCACGCATATAGGCTAATCAAGGCTTAGGGCCCACGTTTCTTTGTGGGGGAGGGGGGGGGAGGGAAAAGTGCCAAAATTGTTCGATTGAGTTTGTATGAATAATAATGATTTGGAGTTCAAAGCACCTCATTCACCAATCGTAAACAAACAATATTTAGCCACGTGATTCTCTATCTCTTCTATACAATTTATGTAATCCATAAAGGCTGTCACGCGATATGTATTTTTCATTGTTTTATCAATATTATGATGTGGCTAAATGTGTTTATTTACGATTGATGAATGAGGTCCATTCATTAGTTCACATTCTATATACTTATTGATCGCCAATCAGTTTAAGCCTCATATTTGGCACTGACATCTGAACTTATGGAGGTTCCCCATGTTTCATATAGCTTAGGGCCTAATCAAATCTAAATCCGGTCTGGTGTGCGTGTGAATGGGTTAACAACAATATACTTTGCTGATTTAGCAGGAATTAGCTCAGATTTTGGGTATGTGTTTGTTTGGGGGGGGGGGGGGGGAACAAAAATCTTTCTACCTGAGAATCAGTTTCACTTCTGTTAAGTAGGTCAGGAATGTGGGAAATTACCCAAGCGTGACAACCTGATTAGTAAGCAAGTAAATTACCCTTCTTAGTACGCTATATTTTTTTTGTTGTTTTTTTTTGTGTCTGGGTTTCTCTTGCTTTTTAAAGTCTAGTTTGTTAACGTTTTTCATGGCACAGAAAAAAAAAGAGAGGTAACTCCGAGCTATTAAGTACTTAACATCGTCTGCTTAGACTCAATGTAAACTGAGACGGTTAACCCGACCTACATAGAGATGTGTGTTAGCCCTTGCAAGAAAAAAAATGTACATGTTAAATATTTAAAATTAGTAAAGATGTTTCCTTTTAAAGCGTATCACAGCAAACAGCTATATAGGTACACTTCCACTTTAAAGACTCTTCTTACATCCTTTAAGCAATAGAGTAGATTATTGTAAACAAAGAAGAGAAAGTGATACGAAGAAATGTGGAAATATAATGGAAGCTAAGAAAATGAGAAAAAAAATGGGAGACAATTCTGCTAGTTAAAATTATTAATATAGCTTTTACTATAAGCTTTTATATAGCGCTAATTTCATGCTTATAGCATGCTCAGAGCGCTTTTGGTCCACTCTTATGTACATACCAGTGGGGGTGGGGGGTGGGAAGGGGGGTATCTAGGAGTTAGTTTTCCGTGCTGCCTTTAGGCGCTCAGTAAACACTACTCTGCCCGAGTCAGTTGTCGAACCTCGAGCCCCCTTCTAGATAACCAAGCCAAGTTCAAGAGCACTTGTCCTCTCGACCACGCTTCCCACTATAATGATAGAACACTGTGACCAACTAAATATTATGAACAACTTTATGTTACAAGTGAAAGATCTTTAAAGTAAAGTCCAATCCTCGCTTTAAAAAGCCGGTCGCATACGTGTCATGGATAGATTTGGTCGGTTGCAGATAGGCCTGCTTCGTCTCTCAGCTTTTTGTTGGTTCGGCACTCTTTTACCCTGGCCAATATTCTTGCTTCAAATCTCAAGACTCCGAGACTCACAGCTTCACGCCATGAAGAGCGATCGAGAGCTAGTGCTTCTCTGCCGTGAATGTCAATATCAGGCTCCTTGAAGTCTTTATAGTGCTTGTCTTGACCTCCCTGGGAGCGCTTTCCTTCACACAGCTTCCCGTACAGAAGCCGTTCGGGAAGGCGATTGTCTGGCATGTAAATGAAATGTCCCGCCCATCGTAGTTGGGATTTATTTTTTGGATAATGTTTGATAATGTATCGGTAGCTGTAGACATGCATACAGTGAATATAAATCAGTCGCTCAGAGGGCCCCTTTTGTAAAAGAAGACTATTAAACCTTTAATACATTAATTCGTGCCTTAGTGACATCCATGTGGCCCTTATCTTTTAAAATACAGACGTGATTTCAAAAAAAGATGTTTACTGTGGTCCTGCCAGCCCATTTGGGTACCGACCCACCGAGCAGAACGCCCATTTTGCTAGTTCGCCCCTGCCAAAAAGATTGTTTTTGTATTTGCCACTATATATAACACCCTCCAATGACCCATTAACGTACGATTTACCAGTACTACAAAATCTTCTGCTATATGACTTTGCAGACGATGGGAGGTCATGTAAAGTTTATCGTGTGCACCAATCAGGTACATGCTGTGTAAAGCCTTAATCAAGCCTCATTAGCCTCTATCAAGCCCCATCAGGTCTCAATCCTAATTCCTTAAAAGCTCATTGTTTCCAAAAAAAGAGGCCTGATTAGGTGCTCCAGGAACTACTGGAATAATTAACGAATAGAATCTAATATTCGTCAAATAGTATGTATGTCACATACACTGCATTCCTCATTAATCTTCGGACTCGAAGACAAGCCTTATAGTTAGTTAATAGGAATATCCGTGAATTAGTCTCTAAGTAAACAAAATAAAGTCAACAAAAAATTATATAACGTCATTATTAACTTTAAACTGATCTAGATTCTGATTCTAATTTGAAACAAAGATTAATCTTTCAATGATTTCTGATCGAGTTAGTCTGAAGAGTACCGTATCCCAATCTTTGAGCCAGCAAGGAAAACAAATGACTTAGCAGAATTTAAGTTGTTGGTTAACATGCTTGACTAATTTAACCTAGGAACACGCAAGTAACGTCAGTATTTTATAAGATAAGATTAAACAAGCTGCTCGCTATTTTATAAAAATCCTTTTATAAAAAGAATCTTATCTAAAGGGGAAAAACTCCACCCTTAAAACTATATCAGTAATGTACAAGTTATTTCCCTAATTCGATATCAAATAAAATAATTAATTACCAATAATTAATTATTTAAGTATTTACCAATAATGAATTAATTAAGTATTTACCAATAATTAATTAATTACGTATTGTTTTTTATTGATTAATTGTTTGTTAGGTACAATAAATAATTGTATAAAGTATCAACGTAATTGGAGAATACGTAATAATAACACAAAATTATTAAAGGAACTAAACCCAACAATTTTATCCATATATGTGAATACTGAACGATTAGTTTCCTCTTTTCTTATCAAACAAAATAATTAATTACCAGTGCTTTTTAAAAATTGATTCATGTCTTGTCTATGCCAATGAATACTTTCAACAACAAATTTTCAACTGGATCCGAGAATGGGTGTGGGAGAAATAAACTGTACACACTTTTACCAGACAGACAGACAGAGTGAGTTTTTTCGTAAAAAAATCTGAACGCAAACAAAGAGCAGCTTACTGGGGTGATTAATTTTTGGGATGAAAACACATAATTAATTTTTTTTTTTATTTCCTGGTCATGCTTCTTATAAGTCAAAGTGATTTAGCCTTGGAACATATTGTTTCGTCATTTCTACATTTTTAAAATTATTATTTCAGGTCATCCAAAGTTCACTTTTACCGAATCGGTCTAGGGGGCACAACTCTCATCAACAACAAGCAGTGGCTGCTGTTTACGCTGAGCGACATCCGGCGGAAGCTCGGGCACCAGAACGCCACGATTGACATCATCAAGATGGACATTGAAGGCTCGGAGTGGGGCGCTCTCCCACAGATGCTCCGCCACGGGGAGTTGGAGGGAGTCAGGCAGTTCTACATAGAGTACCACCTGACGAGGGATGACCGGCGCTACATTCTGCCCAGATTAAAGGCAATACAGGGTCTTGCCAGGGCCGGTTTTAAGAAATTCTACGTCCACAAGAACAAGATTACAAAAACAAACATAAAAGGATTCCCAGTGTATCGTACGCGTTGCTACGAAGTACATTACTTACGCAGATAGCTAAGAAGTATATAGTGAAATGTTAAGAAACTTTGTCATCGAGATGGAAGATGAAAGATAAGTACATTATTTTACGTACCTATGCAGATCCAGCTCTGACCTACATATTTTGCCACAAATAATACAGACAAAGTCATAGTCTGCCAGTGGATTGATTTTATTCTATTTTCACTGTCTTTGGCAAGTGTTAATACAGACAAAGACATAGTCTGCCAGTGGATTGATTTAATTCTATTTTCACTGTCTTTGGCAAGTGTTAATACAGACAAAGCCATAGTCTGCCATTGGATTGATTTAATTCTATTTTCACTGTCTTTGGCAAGTGTTAATTTAGACAAAGCCATAGTCTGCCAGTGGATTGATTTTATTCTATTTTCACTGTCTTTGGCAAGTGTTAATACAGTCAAAGCCATAGTCTGCCAGTGGATATATTTTATTCTATTATCACTGTCTTTGGCAAGTGTTAATACAGACAAAGCCATAGTCTGCTAGTGGATTGATTTTATTCTACTTTCACTGTCTTTGGCAGTAGCATTTCTTTTTTTCTAAATGGAAGTAAAATACCATCAATTGAAGCAGAGTGGCAGCGTATCTTCAACAAAATAATAAAATAAATTAAGAAAATGTCAAATGATATACTAAAACTTTATGGAATGATACTCTCCCTTTACAATAATGTGTGCTGTGTTTATTTGTATCATGTTAGACAAATAGATCCACATGGAGAACAAACATTAAGTTAGGGTCCTGGATTGCAGTTGACTTACACACTAGAAAAAGATGAAAGTGTCACTGTCTCTGGTGATTACAGATGCTCAACCTGTGAATGCAGTTGTGTATCAAGGGTTGGCCTCTTTGGTCACATGAGGTTGAAAAGGTAAAAGCTGGTATCGCATTTTATATTTGAAGATGAATGAAGACTCGAAAGTTTGTCTTGGTAGGACAATTACTTTTGAGTCAAAGACAAAGTTTGATCAAATATTAGCCTGAGCTCTCTTTTCCTGAGCTCTCTTTTCCTGAGCTCTCTTTTCCTGAGCTCTCTCTTCCTGAGCTCTCTTTTCCTGAGCTCTCTTTTCCTGAGCTCAAATTTGTCTTTGTGCCTCTTGTGCCAATTGTTGTCTATCTCTTTGCTTTCCAACCAAAGTTTCCAACAATATTTGCTCTAAATGGCTGCCTGGTCATGTGGAATTCGTTTCGCACTACCGTCAAGATGTACCTGGTTTCAAACCCTGTCAGCCACTCCCGTAGCCATCTTGGAGGAGATTTTTGTCTAGGACCTTAGAACTTTCGCACTGAAGGAATGGCTGAAACGTACTGGTCAGTTATAGCACCGGTACATATATAAATAGAAAACAATAGGCAAAAATAACGCTTGAAGTTTCCTTGGCTACCTATGTAAAGGGCTCGAGGTTCGACGCCAGACTCGAGCAGAGTTGTGTTTACTAAGCGCATAAAGGCAGCACGGAAAAACCTTATCACAGATACCTTCTTTTTTTGATGACCCCAGTGTGGCCTTATTCGCATACTTTAACAATAATAGAAAGTCTTGTCTTCTAGTCCAAAGATATAGGTGGAGTGCTTTATATCACGTGGATACGGAGTCCTAGCTGTGATCTATATATTTTGCCACACCCAACACAGACATAACCCATGTCAGCCGGTGGTCTGTTTAAGTTCTCTTTGCGTTGTCTACTCCTGTCATTGACAGTGGATTTCATTTTGGTCTCTACGTGTAATCCTCGGCCTTTGTAAGAAATCTCCAGCTACCTCGTTCTGATGCCACCTGCAATCGGTGTTCTCTTATATATCAGTTAAAGCAAGCAAGCGCCTAAGCTGGGATCTAAAGCGTTTTCGGAGGGCACCTCATGTCGTGCCGACCTAAAAGAACTGCCTTTGGCATACTGTCCGCCCACTTAAGGTAACGCTGGGTGGAAGTATGGCAGATCATGCTGCAGGAGTTCTGAATTGTCTTTATGGTTCTGGGTTTGAACCCTACCCGCTGCCTTCCCCTGGCGTACTGAGGGTGGTTTGGGCTATGGTGTATTAATCTACCACTCTGAAGGAACATCCAAAACATGTGAACCAAATAAATTAGGGCGCTAATAGCCCCCTTGGCGTCGTGGTCACTACTCTAACTAGTTTTTATAGATCTTTTATTTACTCATTCTGTCTTTTCGTCTGTCAGTCTGTCTGTCACAAATTCCCTCCTATTTCTCCCTCTTTCTATTCTCGGATCAAGCTGAAACTTTGCACAATTTTTTTATTGTCGTTGACAGCACGTGAATCAATAACAAAACATTATTAAATTTATTAAGCTATTAATTAATTTTTGTATTATGAATAAAAAAAAAGATTATAAATCTTGCAGTATTATGTGGAAGTAAATGTGCGGCTTTCCCTTATGTAGGAATTTTATAAAAAAGTATGTTTGTTTATTGTGAATACGGTGATCACAGTTATGATAAGCTATTAAAATTAAAATCACTCAAATCTGGGGAATTAACTAATAAGATAATTGCACAGACAAGTAAGTGGCAAACACTTAATATATTGGTGGAAAGCTGTGGTCGAGAGGCTAAGTGCGCTTGAACTTGGCTTGTCTTGGCTACCTCGGGCAGAGTTGTGTTTACTGAGCGCCTAAAGGCAGCACGGAAAACCAACTCCTAGATACCATCTCCCCCCTACTGGTCCACAAATGAGATTGGACCAAAGCGCTCTACATGAAAGTAGAGCTATATAAAGCTTCAATAATAATAAGAATATTGTAAGTTGAAACACATTTTTTATTTCCTTACCTGAAGAGGTATTAGAATTGCATCCATTCAGAGGAAGTATTTTATACAATAACTTTTTCTCCCGCAAGCAGTAAAATTGTGACCTTTTTTTTGTTTTGTCACTAATTTTTATTGCTACAATATTGTGATAATTGTTGATCTGCTTTAAGTATGTAATTTAAGATGATGTTGCAATCAATGTAATATTAATCTAGCACAGTGATGCCCAACCTAATTCAACCCGCGGGCCATTTTAATTTCCAACACTTGTCTCGCGGGCCACATGACTTTATTTTGGTAGAAACCTGTGGATTTGATGCTTAACTAATTGGTTATTTGACAATTATATTTTTGTTTACACATCAGAAAACATTTTCGTTTTGCTACTTAAAATGTGAGCAACAGTGTTGGTACCTTTACCACCGACTCATTTTGTGGTCTCTTTTTTTGGTAAATATTCCCATGGATCCTCCAACCTCTAGGCGTAGTTTAAGAATCTTTTATTTGTGACTCAAACCAAGAATGTCAACAAAAACCGTTTTTATGTTGTTGTTTTAGAAGACAGCCAGACACTTTCTTGATGCAATAAATATGTTGGTTTATTACCATGTTCAACAAAAAAAAAAGTAAAGATATGTTCACTTTACCTGGTAGATTCTACATTTAGATTCCAATTTTATAAACACAAATGTTAAAATCATGATACCAATCCGTCATAGAAAAAGTGAGCGCCCAAACGTAGGTAAAGATACATTTTTTTCAACCTTTTTTATTGTTTTGTTTAGGAGGAGTTCTACACTTTGTGCCGACGTTTCGGCGGGCCGGATCTGGCCCGTATTTTGGGCATCACTGATCTGGCATATTTGACATTTTAACTTGTACAATATGTGCGCAGAAGTGTCTACATATTCTCATATCTGTATGCAATCAAAACATTGTGAATACCTATATTATATAGAAGTCTTCAATGTTTGATATATGGTTTGTAATGCTTGAATATTTATCTAAATTTTGTTGTATTTTATTTTGCAATAAATAATGTGAGATATTTGAGTACCTGAGTTGCTAAGTGCTTCTTGAATGTTTTATTATAATATATAGTGCCACGATCTGCCTCAGAGAAATATTGAACGTTAAATAGCTGACACAGAAGTCCTCCAAAGAGTGAGCTTGCAAAGCATTCACACAGTCTTGATTGTAGTCTTAGCTGCAATGGACAAATCCAGCATCCCTAAAAGACTCTTTTAGGGCCAGCCAATGAAAGGGAAGCGTGTTCTAAGAAAACCTATCAGCACACGAACGGTGGGTCTCTGAAGGCCTTCAACATTGTATTCCTTCCACCTGGGAGACGGAAGCCCAGATAAGAGCTTAACGTAGCTCCATGTTTTGAAAACTAGCGCCAAAATTGCTGAGGACAAGAAAACATCGCTGGAGGAATAAAAGCGCCAGAGAAAAAAAAATCAATCTCGACAACTGACACTAACTGAAGAAGACCTACATGTTAAAGAAATTATTTCGAATCTAAGGAAGAAAAAAAAAAAGTTTATTTAACGGGTATTTCTGAAAACTTGACCAATAACTCATAACCTCAGGATGTAGCATAAGTTAAAAAACACAAGTTCTCTTCAAAATCAAGGTGTCTATTAATTGCTGAGGACAAGAAAACATCGCTGGGGGAATAAAGCGCCAGAGAAAAAAAAATCAATCTCGACAACTGACACTAACTGAAGAAGACCTACATGTTAAAGAAATTACTTCGAATCTAGGAAGAAAAAAAAATGTTATTTAACGGGTATTTCTGAAAACGTGACCAATAGCTCATAACCTCAGGATGTAGCATAAGTTAAAAAACACAAGTTATCTTCAAAATCAAGATGTCTATTAATTATAAAAAAATAATAATAACAATCTTTAATGTCCTTGAGGAAATTTGTGTTATAATTTGTGCATTACACCAAATAGAAACAAAAAAATAAGTACATAATTTCATACGAAAAAAAGTTTATATCAAATCGTTTCTATTTAATGATTTGATTGCCAGGAGTACAAAAGAGTGTTTGTGTATTTTTGTCTTGGCTATCGGTGTCATATCTCTTTTGCACTGAAGGAATGGCTTAAACGTACTGGTCAGTTATAGCACCGGTACATATATAAATAGAAAACAATAGGCAAAAATAACGCTTGAAGTTTCCTTGGCTACCTATGTAAAGGGCTCGAGGTTCGACGCCAGACTCGAGCAGAGTTGTGTTTACTAAGCGCATAAAGGCAGCACGGAAAAACCTTATCACAGATACCTTCTTTTTTTGATGACCCCAGTGTGGCCTTATTCGCATACTTTAACAATAATAGAAAGTCTTGTCTTCTAGTCCAAAGATATAGGTGGAGTGCTTTATATCACGTGGATACGGAGTCCTAGCTGTGATCTATATATTTTGCCACACCCAACACAGACATAACCCATGTCAGCCGGTGGTCTGTTTAAGTTCTCTTTGCGTTGTCTACTCCTGTCATTGACAGTGGATTTCATTTTGGTCTCTACGTGTAATCCTCGGCCTTTGTAAGAAATC